ATGTCAGTGGGCTGGAAGACTAACAAACACCACTACAGAACAGGATTTTAATTTATAAAAGTGAAAACGCAGCCCTGAGGCTTTACTCTGGGCCTGTGGTCACTCTTTATGCTAATGGCCTCAGGCCAGGTCAGCCTTTGTCTAGAGCACTTAACAGAAAGAATCACCTGGATCCTGGCCGTCCATGTGGCAGGCCATGCTAGCTGGTGTGCTTGTGTCATTTCATCTTAACAACCTTACTAGTTAGGGTTTCACATAACCTTCATCTTCTTTTAAAAAAAGATGAGAATATGAAGCCCAGAGAGGTTAAACCACTTGCGTAGGATCCCACAGCAATTCCTGGCTGACTCTGGAGTCCTTATTTGTCCCCACTTGTCCTGCTACCTCAGTAATCCCAAGCTTTACTCTGAGCCCCAGGCTGAGTCTTCCAAGCACAGGCATTGTTACAAAGGGGCCGGGAGCCAGTGAATAGATCTACACCACCCAACGCCCAGTGGGGAAGCAGCACAGAACCTACATCCCATGGAAGCAGGCCTAGGGCTTGCAGAAAGACTGATTGTAAATGAAGACAAGGAACGTGTGCTGGCCTCTTTGGCTGGAAGGCCCAGACAGCTCTCCTAGAGATGCACAGATCATGACAGTAGATGGATAGTTTCCAGATGGCCTGAACAGCTTGGAGGTTGTCCTGGAGCCTTTGGCTTCAGATGGACCTGGAGTAATGACATCCTGCCCCCACCCCCACACTGTGACCTTAGAACTAGCCCTTAACCTCACTTAGCTCTGCCATCTCTAAAGTGAGGGGTTCCTTGTACCTGCCTCACGGGGTGGTGAGGTGACCACAAGACACTCGGCACAGAAGGCTCTCTGCTGTTGATTCCTTTGCCCTCCCTCTGAATAGAACCCAGGTAGCCCCACCTGTCTTTAGGCACCCAGCTCCAAAAAGGCCATCACATACAAAGTGGTGTTTGTTTTTTTGGAGAGGTTTTTGCTATAGGGCACGTGCACTCATCAGAAAGACAGAGACAGAGAGACAGAAAGCGAGATATCACCCCCTGGGGGGATGGCCATGCCGCAATCCCTTCTCCTCCATTCTCCTCTCGGGATCTGGGCACGCATGCACACTCACCCAGCCACCGGGTCTGGGACTCGAATCGTGGTCGACTACATGGGAATCCAGTAACATAGCCATTACACCAACTGCTGGTCCACAAAGTGGTGTTGTAGAATGGTAGGTGCCAAGAGGCAGAAAACCCAAATGTAACTTGAGAAAGTCACCCTGGTAACACTGGCTTTAAAAGCTTGGGAGGGGCCGTGTATTATGCGGCCGGGATAGGGACCATCCCCCAGGACTATTGTGTCTCTGTGAATGTCCCTCCTCTGTAGGCAAGGGAAAATAAAGCCTGGTGTGACACAGAGCTGCCTCCAAGGAGCTTGGAAAGGGAACAGGTCAGTGAGAAAGGTCCAGGCCCCCGCACTCAGCCACAGCCCGCAGGTCTCACAGCGGAGCTTCCACCTCCTGCTAGGAGCCAGCATCCTTCTATGGTCCAGCTCCTCCTAGGGAGGACCCTGCCCCTGCACCACTCGCTGTCCAGAGTAGGGGCCCTCTCTGCCCTCAATGAGCATTTGTCAGCTCAGGAATGGACTTGGGACAAGAAAGACCGAGGTTAGCCAGAAGCAGAAGGTGCTTCCTCACAGAGAGGGCAGATGTTGCTCTTCCTATAGGAACCTCATCAACTAGGCGCAGTGACATTTCCATAGGGCCAGAGGGACGGGGAGAAATGCAGCAGGTTGCCTTTATTTCTGTGTTGATGTTATCAAAGTGTTACATGGGCACAAGTTAAAATGAAATACCTGCTGGGTCAACCCCCTGACTTAGTGGTTAAGGGAGAAGGATCTCACATGGCCAACCTTATGATTAGAATCCCTGATGGGTGGCTCGAAAAACATGCTGGGCACAAGTGTGTACCCCAAATGCCAAAAGAATGGAGAAATAAAGGGATTGCAGTGTGACCACATCTTGTTGGGTTTGCCCTCTCTCTCTTTCTCTCTCTCTCTCTCTCTTACTCTCTGATGAGCACATGTGCCCTCTGGCAATTAAAAAAAAGTCAAATACACAGGGTCTTCAAAAAGTCAGTGGAAGTAGTGTATTATTAAAAATGCATGGAGGCTAGCAGATGGTGTAGTGGTTAAGGTGCTGGACTCCCGCATGGCCAACCACAGTTCGATTCCCGGACCTGGCAGCTGGCTTTCTCACTTTCCCTCTCTCTCTTGCTATCTCTCTCTCTGGTGAGTGCACATATCCTATAGCAAATTTTTAAATAATAATAAAATTAAGTAATTCTTGAAAGAAAAAACTACACATGAATTTTTAGATATTTTGCACCCAAACTTGTACTTCAATTTCATCCACCAACCTCTTGAAGTCCCCTCATAATACTGAAGAGCTGATAATGAAAACTCGGCAGTCTCTTCCCTCACTCCGCCTTTACCTTTGGTAACTGCTTCTCTGGCATGAACTCCATATTCCCATGTGATGCTTTTTTTTCTTTATTTATGACAGAGCACGTGTGCACATGCATACGACAGAGATGAGCATCCCGCACGGGGTCTGATCACACACCGATCACCTTGCTCCAGCCCTCCAGCCCAGGATCCCGAGTACTCTCACATGTGCCTGGCATGTTTTAAGCTGACCAGGACAGGGATTTGAACCACAGTGGCTATGCAAGATCCAGTGTCTCTCAAGCAGTACATTACCACTGCGCCACAGAAGCAGCTCTGTGTTGTGAGGAATGAATGGTGCCCCCAGGGAATGTTCTGGAGTCAGAGGCTAGAGCCACAGGGAAGGTTTTCTGGAGGGCACCAGGCCTGAACTGGGCTTTGAAGTCTGATCAGAATGTATAGGCAGACAAACCAAAACAAATAAACAAACATAAATTTGGTACAGCCATCAAAATGAATTTTCCCAATAAATTTAAATCTCGTAAGAAAGTGATCAGGGTATGATGGTCAATGAAAAAAGAAGGCAAGATAAAACTATGCATACTATATAAGCTCATTTACATATCTGTATAGACATAGGAAAAAAAGAGAATTATACCAAACTATTAACAGTACTAGAATTAAGGATGATTTTGTCTTTAAATTTTTCTATATTTTGAATTTTTCCATACTAGTCTAAATTACTTTTATAATAGAAATGAAACTTTGTTTTGTTTTAATTTGCTAGAGGGCTTGCTGGAGAGAGACAGAGAAAGAGGGAAAGTGAGACAATATCCCCAGGGGGATGGTCACATCGTGATCCCTTCTCCTCTGGTTCCCCCTCATTTCAGGATTTGGGGCACACATACACACACACCTGGCATGTTTTTCAAGACACCAGGTTTAGGACCCAAACCATGTAATATTCCAGCAACCATAACTACCATGCCACCAGCTGGCCCAATATTTTTTGGGATGAGGAGCAGGTGTGCCATAGGGTGCATGCACTCACCAGAAAGAGACGGAAAGAAAGAGAGAGAGGGGAAGTGAGAAAGCACCCTACTGGCTGGCTTCTGATAATAATTTTTTAGAAGCATTAAAAATGGGATTTGGGGACAAGTCTAGAATTCTTTTAGTAATTTTAAAAGATATTTAAAATTATGGGACCAGCAGATGGCAATGTAATGGTTACATTGCTGGATTCCCACACAGCAAACTATGGTTCGAATCCTGGACCTGGTGGCTTGGAACTCATGCCAGGTGCATGTGCATGTGTATCAAAGGTCTCAAGTGAAGAATGGAGGAGAAGTGATTGTGGCACGGCCATTCTTCCTTGGGAGTGAGTGATTTCTTGCTTTCTGTCTCTCTGTCTCTCTGGTGAGCACACATGCCCTACAGCAAAAAATCTGTCTCCAAAAAAAGAAAGATATTTAAAATTATAACTATGAGACCAGCAGATGGTGTGGATATTAAGGCGCTGGATCTCACATGGCTGACTGCGTGATTCCAGTCCTGGCTCTGGCAACTTGAAAATCACGTTGGGACCATGTTCATGTGTGCCCAAAATCCTGAGAGGAGAATAAAAGAGAAGGGATTATGGAGTGATCATGCACCCTGGGGAGTGATTTCTTCACTCCCTCCCCCAGTGAGTGCACATACCCTATGACAAAAATCTAAAAATAAAATAATTATGTATGTATTCTTTAAAATACATTTAAGGGACCAATAGATGGGTAATAGTTACATTGTTGGACTCACACATGGCTGACTATGGTTCAAGTCCCTGACCCAATTGCTTGAAACATGTTAGACGTGTGCATGTGTGCCCAAGATCCCAGGAAGAGAATAAGAGAAGAAGGGATTGTGGCATGGCAATCCCTGGGGGGTGATTTTTCACTTTCTGTCTCTCTGGCAAGTGCATGCACCCTACAGCAAAAAATCTCTCTTAAAAAATACATTTAAGTATAGCAGTTTTATGTTTTAAAAAGTGGAGAGGAATGTCTGCCGCATGGGCTTATTGGCCAGAGTAAATGAAATCATCTTCGCGAAGTGCTTAACACAGTGCCTGCCTAGGGTAGGTCCTTAGGTGTTATTATGAAATAGCTATTTAGATCATCTTCACTCCCCTGCCTCCTTCCTGCCATCCTTGTTGGTTGAGAATGAGTTTGATTTTCTTTTTTTTTTTTTTTTAGGGGGGATATTTTTTGCTATAGGGTCCC